ATATAGAGGATATTACATGGCCGCGCGGGGATACGAATTTTATCTTCGAGTGCTGAAAGTATCTCTCACTCGTTCGCTGCGCTCACTCGTGAGAGATACTTTCAGCACTCGAAGATAAAATTCGTATCCCCGCGCGGCCATGTAATATCCTCTATATGTTGTAACTGTCGGAGGTATTAGTCCAAACCCAGAAAAGATTCGTGTTGTGCAGGAATTCCCTACTCCAACTAATCTCAAGGAACTCAGGAATTTCCTAGGTCTCGCTAATTATTACAGGCGTTTTGTCAACGGTTTTTCTTACATAGCCACTCCCTTGAATGCATGAACAAAGAAGGGTGTTTCTTTCAATTGGACAGAAGAGTGTGCTGTTGCCTTCGACAAGTTGAAACGTGTGTTTGTGTCCGCCCCTGTTTTGGCTTACCCTAACTTTAAAGAGCCTTTTCTACAGTTTGTCGATGCTAGTTCTACAGGAATACGATTCACCTTAGCTCAAGTCCAGAATGGTAAAGAAGTAGCGATTGCTTATAACGGTCGCGGTTTGAATAGTGCAGAGCGCAACTATAGTACAACTGAGAGGGAGGCGCTCGCGTTAATAGAAGGGATTAAGAAATTTCAGCCCTACCCTCAGAATCGCCAATTCACGGTTGTTACTGATCACAGTTCGTTACGTTGGTTAATGAACGTTAAGGATGCTTTTGGTCGTCTTGCAAGATGGGCCTTACTTTTAGAACAGTACGATTTTGAGATTATCATCGCCCTGGTAAGGTGCATGGCAATGCGGACAGTTTGTCCAGACGTCCTTATGACACAAGGGAATGTGATTCACTCCAAAAAGAGGAGGCACAAGTACGAGAATTGCAAAGGCGTGATCTTGACATTAGTGAGATTATTGATTACCTAGAAAATGATGTTTTACCCATAGACGATAGTGCGGCGCGCAAGCTTTTACTTGTGAGCGATAGTTTTTACATCTGGCGTGATGGTTTACCACTTAGGCAACAATCGAAAGCGCAATTCTTGGGACTCGCTTCCTCAACTGGTTGTCCCTCCAGCATTGCGATTTGAAATTTTGTCGAACATGCATGACCACATTTCCGGTGCGCATTTTGGAGTCCATAAGACTTTTAATGACGTTAAGCAACGATATTGGTGGAAAGGAATGTACAAATATGTTGAGCATTGTTGTAAGTCTTGCACTGAGTATTCCACGAGAAAATCGCCTAGAAATACCAAAAAAGCACCTTTACTTCCAATTCCAGTGGAGAATGTTTTTGATAGAGTGGCTGTTGATGTGTTAGGGCCTTTCCCACCTTCTAACAAAGGAAATAGGTACGTTGTCGTTTTCAGTGATTACCTTACTCGATGGTGCGAAGCATTTCCTGTTCCGAGCGTTGAGGCAACATGTAATTTCTCGTCTATTAGTAAATGAGATCGTCGCCAGACATGGTGCGCCTAGAGTTTTGTTGCCTGATAGAGGAAAAAATTTCTTGTCTAAAATGGTAGCAGATGTTTGTAAGATCTTCCGCATCCACAAGGTTAATACTTCTAGTTATCACCCGCAGACTGATGGCTTAGTTGAAAGATTTAACTCTACTTTATGTCAGTCACTTTCAATGTATGTTGCAAAGAATAAAAAAGATTGGGATGATTTTATACCGCTAGTTTTGTTCGCCCATAGAACATCAGTTTTAGAAGCCATTGGCGATTCCCCTTTTTACGTACTGTATGGCCGTGAGCCCCGCTTGCCTGTGGATGTCAAGTATTTACCGTCAGTCGATGATGACGTTACTGCTTCAGTTTTTGAACATCGTAAACGAATTGTTGAGAACATTGAATTAGCACAAAATATGGCTAGAGAAAATTTGCAGCGTGCTCAAGGGTTTATCTAGGAAGCTTTTACACAATTGGTTAGGACCGTACAGAATAGTCGAGCAATCATCTCCTGTTCATTTTCGTTTGCGTACTGATACTAATAAGAAAGTTACCTTTGCCGTGCATGCGAATCGATTGAAGCCATTTATCGATCCATCTTTACGACCAATTGAACCTCCACTAGTGGACGACCCGAGTGAGCCTTACCTGGATGAGTCCGATACTCCAGATGATAATTTTGAGTCAGAGCTTCCTGTCGATAAAAAGGTCAACTCTAGACCGCCAGTTTCAGATACTACTGATTCAAGTTCACAATCAGACAATCAGGTCCGGCCTTGTTCGGATTCCTCAGAGAAAGACGACGATAGAATTTTTCAAGCTGATCGAATTCTTAAATCTCGTAAAAAGAAAGGCAAAATTGAATATCTCGTCAAGTGGCATAACCTTCCGAGAAGTCAGTCAACTTGGGAACCTGAACAAAACATCTTAGATAAACGACTTATTGATAACTTTAACAACTCAAGGAAGTAACGAACTCTCGTATAGTCAATTCATTTCCGCAAGCGACGTTCGAATTGGCTCTGTCCGTCAATTTGCCTCTTTTGTGGAGATTAGTTAAGAATCAAGTTAGAAACTGGGTTCAAAAGCTTTATTAATATCTTTAAAGCAAGTCAGAGAGAAGAATTACAATATGTTATCGCGGACCGCCTTCGAGATCTTGGATTTTACCTCGCAAAACAGCCAAATCCCTCCCAAATTGTTTGCCTTACCTGTGCCCAAAAAGTGAACACTTTTTGCAAGTTTTATGAACTCTTGGAAAAGGCTTCATGTCCATCTTCGGTTGAGAACTCGAGCTCTAATTCAATATATTGGTCATAAGTGTTATTATGTAAACAGAACACAAAAGTTGCTTCGCGAGCGGCTCGGAATTCCGCTCGTATTGATCATATCATGCACATCAAGTATTCGAATTTTACTTTTTCTTACCTCAGGCCAGTCCAAGTTTGAATC